AGAGGAAATCTTCTGATTTACTCTTACATGGTATAGTCACTAAACTGACACTTTACAGTTTCAAACTAAAAATGAAAAAATCTGAAATCACTGCATTCCCAAGCCTACTGGCATTGAACACTTTTATCATTGCTTTATAAAGGGAGACAGAATAGTAACTAATTATGAGTGAAAACAGACAATGTCAAAGTGAAATCAATGCACAAAAGCCTGAAAAACTCAGAGAAACCGCAGTCATGAGCAAGAGGACCATGTGGGCTGCCGTGTCAGCTCAGCACATTGAGTCCCTGGCTCCTGGGTCTCCCACTCAAATGTAGGGTCCCAAGGCTGTGGCCATCTTCTACTGCTTTTCCAGGCCCCATGCAGGGAACTGGATGGAAAGCACAGCAGCCTGGACAGAAACTGGCACCATGCAGGATCTTGGTACGTGCAAGGTGAGGAGTTAACCAACAGGCTGTCATGCTGGGCCCAGTCACCTAGACTTTCCATCCAAAGTCTTAAAACACAATTCCTTTGTTGCTTGGATTAAATAATTTGTTTCTGTTGTTTATAAAGAGAGCCCTGATCTGTCATCTCTTTTGGATATGATTGTTAGTTCCTCAAATCAGTGTTTACTAGAGTTCTGCTCCATTTTAGCTTCAAATAGGGCCACGTGCACATAAACATTTTAGTACATAGCAGATACTCAGAAGTATTTGTAAATTCAAAAAGAGAAATACTAAAATTATTCAGGCTGCGAGAATGGGAGATTGAGAAGACTATTCTTTCTTTTCATATTTAACAAATGAGGTTTTTTACACAGTACTTTCAGAACTGGGATTATCAACTTTGTAAAAAAAAAAACTGGATGACTTAACAGAGCTCAACATGACAGATTTCGTTGTTGCTCCTAAGCTCTATGATTCTCTACAAATAAGCCCACTTTCAGAGCACTTCTGTAATCTTCCAAACACAGGACCATGGTGCAAGTGCGTTAAAAAGGAAAAGAATGAAATTGAAATTACATGCTAGTTACCTTTGCAAAATGAGCTTTAAAAATAATTTCTTTTGAAAAATAGGTTACTAATTCTAATTTAATTCTTCTTAATCATAAATCAGTGCTATCAAATTTGTTTTATTTGTATTTTCAACCAATAGTCAATCATTATAGGGCCTAAGAACCCAAAATAAAATGATGCTAGATAAATGTAGTGCTGTGTTTTTTTAAGGGGAAAGAAGTGAATCAAAGCATGCTAAATTATCCCGTGTTGATATTATACCATTAGGAAATATCTTAGTAACATTCATTTAATTTTCATCCTATTAATATCAGCACAGGACGCCAGTTAAAGGAAAGGATGACTCATCTCACTCTTTGTGTGTCAGGCTGTAGCAGAATACTTTATTACATTCTTGGGAGGCACTAATAAAAGAAGAATTTCTACGTGCAGGGTGTTTATGATGGTAAAGAAAATGAAATTCATGTTATTCAAGGAAGCACTGAATTAAACAGGAAAAATTTCAGTCGAAAAATAGCTTCAGCGAGATTTTTAACAACTGAAGCATCATCTTGGAAGAAGCAGCAGACTTCAGAAGGCAAATCTGATCTGCTAAATAATCATTTACTAAGCAGCTATTCTTAATGTGTGCAGGTGAGGTGAGAGTAGCTAAAATGATGAATTGAAAACCATCTCTGCCATCCAGAACAATGAAAACACAGACAGGTGGATTTGATGAGGCTTACTGATGGATTTGACGGATGCATGGGGGAAGTGCAAGACATCTTAAAAATAAATATTTACACAAAGTGGACAAATTTCACATATACTGCAGCACAGATGCAGGACCTCACTGATACTTCTCCCCCTAACTCCCAGCCCTGCCTGTCTGCATGCCTCCTTCCTTACTCAATCCCATATTTGCCTTAAATCACACTAGATCTACTTCCCTCAAAGTCCTCTCCATTTGAGTTGATACTAAATAACATTTACTGTTGCCAACTTGAGTCATTCTTTCCCTTCTCTTACTTCACACAACATCCATTAGAAATTTTGTAAGTCCAAATTAAAACCCATCCAGAATCCACATTCTTAACCATGAGTTCTACCACTTGCCGACAGAGCTGCCATGACCCCTTAACTGCAGAGTTTGAGAGACGTCCTATCTGACCTTCATTCTTTAATCCGCTCCCTCTAAACTCTTGTAAAACTGGTCATATTAAATTAAATCATGAGATTATTTTGTTCAAAACCCTACTGGACTCCCATTTCACATATAGGAATCAAAGACCTTATCTTAGTCCACAAAGTTCTTCCCCATCTGGACCCTATTACTTTACTGTAAAGTATTGAAAGCAAATTAGTATTACCAGGTGTGATGATCTATTTGACATACCAACTTGACTACGCTAATATACCCAATTAATCAGTGGACATTAAGCAAGTGGTGCTATAAAGTTTTTTTTTTTTTTTTGGTAGATGTGTTTACTGTTTGTAATCATTGACTCTAAATGAGTGATATTATACTGGAAAATCCAGGCAGGATTGATCCAATCAATTTAAAGGCCTTAAAAAGCAGATCTGAAACTTCCCTGATGAAGAAATTCTACCTGTAGATGGTACCAAGGATTTCCAGCTAATCCTTGTAGATATTCTTCTCTATGGATTTCAGACTTGGCCTAGTCAACTCGCTCAATATAGAAAGATGATTCAATGAGTCTCTAGGAAACATCTTTTAGCAGTTACACTTTTCTAGTCAAACTCTACATAGTATGTTAGAGTGGCAAAAGGTTGCAAAAATTAAGGAATAAGAGCCTGATCATAATGGACAGCTTTTTTTAAGACGGTAAAGGTTTTGGACCTTGAATCTATCACGCATGGGATAAATTGAAGCTGACACAATCAGAGGCAGAGATAGATCATCTGGATTTGTCATGAAATATATACTGACACAAGAGCAAGAAAGAGACATTGAAGGTTAGAAAACCAGGAAAAGTACATGTGAGAAAAGAGAAGAGCAAAAGGAGAAGACTATTAAAGAAGCTGTGGGAAGATTTTTAGAAACTCCTCAACTGGTTCAAAGAGTATGACCAGCATCCATCATGGTACTACAAAGATAACTCACCAAGATCTCAAGAACAGTCATTTGCAGGAGGAACTTGTACTATGTTGACTGAAGAGGATTGGGAAGTCCAAGAACATGGCAAACAAAGATGTGGTATTCTTTCTGAAGACTGACTTAGAATGTAGGAAGAAGAAAGTAGAGGATACAGTGCCTAGTGAAGCTGATTCAAATGACAGAAGCTTGAGACTTTAACAGACTGATGGGAAACAGTACATTTTCCTGTCTAAGGTTCAAGAGAGAAGTGTCCGAGCTAAAGGATATGTAGGAAGTCATGGGCTTTGCATTTCTGGAAGTAAATGTAGAGGGAACACTTTAACAGTGATGTAGGAAATGGCTTTCATGATGAGGCCTCTAAAACACAGGGCAAAGGAAAAAGCAGCCAATGAGACCATATCACACTCGGAAACTTCTGCACAGCAATGGAAACAGTCAATAGGGTGAGGAGACACACAACAGAATGGGGAAAACATTTGCAAGCTGCCTGGCAATAAAAATCTCCAGAATATAGCATCAACTCAAAAAACTCAACTTCAAGAAATAATCAATCCAGGTAAGAAATGGGCAAAGGATATCCATACACAGTTCTCTAAAATGCAAATGGCCAATGAGTATTTGAGAAATGTTCAAGACCACTGGCTATCAAGGAGATGGAAGCAAAAGCACCATAAATTATAATCCCACCCATATCAGGCTGGACATTACCCAAAAGATAGAAGGCAGCAAATGCTGATGAAGATAAGGAGAGAGCAGAATTCTCACACACTGTTAATGGGAATGTAAACTAACACAGCAATTGTGGGATACAAAGTGAGATTTTAAAAAAATACACTAGAAATAGACTTGCCAACTGAACCAAGCAATCTCACTAACTGAACATATATCCCCAAAGACATGTTGTGTCAGACACCTGTACCAGCAAATTAATAATATGTAATATAAAATCCATTGAGGTGCCCATCATATAATTAAAGAACATATGTTGTATTTATAGATAATGGAATATTATTCAGCTACAAAAAAGACATTGTATCAAACTGTGTGCAAGTGAAGGAATTATGTTGCGTGAAATAAGCCAGACACAGACAGACACAAAAGCACATGTTCTCCCCATATGTGTGAGCTAAAATTTAAAAACCGAACAAAAGAAATGTATGTTTGTATCAACATTGCTGCAAACAAAGATTTTCAAGCTTCATATGTTTGTTAAACCACTTGTTAGGACTGATATATTGCTACAGTTTGAGCATTCAGTGATTATTTTAAAATTTACTAGGTATGAATGAAAAAAAAAAAGATAGTGGGAGGTTCTTTGTCTTCCGAAACTGCAGAGAGAAGGAGAGAATGGGAGTCCAGTGATCCCTCTGAAGAGTGAGAATGATCACGCCCAAAGGTGTGGCCTTTCTTGGTGAGATTAGAAAAGAAGGTGACCAGTTAATGAAGAGCAGAGGGTGTGCTTAACAGGTTTAAGAAGCATATTGCCTAGAATCCTTGAAACTTGTTATGTAGTCTCCAGTCTCCTCAGGAAGATGTGCTTGCAAGCCAATACCAGGATTCCAAGCGGGCATTTTTCACTTTGTATTTTCCCTGGCTCCCCTGGGACTAGTTGTCAAGGAAACACCCAAATCTATATATATATTTTATACAGTAAGCTTTTTTTTGAACTGATAAGACTTTATTCAGTCTTAGATTCAGTTAAATGATACCACTGTGGGTGGAATGTTCTCTTAACATTCTCTGACACATCATTTCTCACATAACATTCTTCTCTCCTTACAGTCATGTTGATATTGAACACTGATTGAAAGGAGGAGATAGAAAAGTAAACGAAGACTAAAAAAGCAAGCTTGTGTCAAGTGGCTGCTAAAATGAGTTTGTTGTTGAACTATCCCATGCTTTACCTGGGTGGAAAACTTTGGTTTTTCCATTAGTGATTCCTGAAGAACTTGCCTCCATGTTTAATGACCTTCTACCTGGTGGGAGTGAGGAATGCCTGACCACAGGCAAGCGACCACGTGACCCAGGGCGGCTTGCCACACTTCGCCGTTGATGGATTTGCAAACGCTTTTCAGCCCCATGAATAGATAAACTTAAACCTGAAATGAAAAAGAACAGCATTAGGCTAAAGATGTCAGTTCAGAATGGCTAAAATGTTGAGTTATAAAATACCATAAAATCCAAATGTTTCATGTTTCATATTCTTAAAGCATGCTAGGGATGCTTGTGTCATCAGTCCATTTTCACATTATAATATTTCTTGAAAATTGCTTCATTCAAAAGCAGAACACCTTACTTATCATGACTAGATTTCATGAGTAAGTATCCAAAAATACAGGGATTAAACTTCTTTGCAAAATCATGGAAATATATTCATATATTTTATATGCTGTTAACACAGACTACAGGTTTTAGGATCTATGGCTGGCCTAAGTGGATTTTCAACAAGAATCAGAAGACTTTCATCTGCAGAATCTGAACAAGGGCCAGACTTAGTGATTGTACTCACATTGACATGTCAGGAGATCTTAGAATGACATGTCATTCTAGAAATATCTTCAGAAATATCAACCATTCTAAAAACAAAAATAAACAGTATGAGAGTAGTTAAAAAAAATCTGTAGAAATGGAAATAAAGGTAGAATTGTTGGTGAAACAAATTTGAGAATCATGCATCTTTCCATGTTTCCATGATTATACATTTTCCATTAACTTTTTTGAAGATCCCTCATATAATCCAATATTAGTAAATGTCAAGACTCCTTGAAATATTCCCCTTGGTATGTGTTTGTATTTTTAAAGTGCTGGAGTAGTTTAAAGCAAATTTCAAATATGTCAATTTCATTGAAGCAATATTGACTGTATTCACTTACACTGATTATGCCAATATACATCTACACCAAATCCTGATTTTAACATTTTTCAAAGAACACTCACAGATCAGATCACTCCCAGAGGTTAAGGTAGTGTTTCGTTAGTTATACAATAAATAAACGGAAAAAAGTAAGCAGTTATTCTTTTTCCTTTATGCACTACATTTTATTGTAACTAGAGAGTAGATGGGACAAAACCCTTCACTAAATGAGAATTCCTGCAAATAAATACTGAGGGAACACAGGGTTAACAAAATTCTCTCAGAAACCGCAGTGATAGATGAAAGGTGACATGATTAGTTAAAAGAAACACTGTGAGGACAGAGCTGGGATCTACTTTCATAAATAAACGTATCTCATTCTCCTTTAACAAGAACCAACGGGTACAGTGCGTTAGCCTAGCGGCTAAATCCTCGCCTTGCATGCCTGGGATTCGCCTAGGTTAAGACTGTTATACTGGGTACCTCTTGGGAGACAACCTGGCATTGGATTTCCCTGGAAAGGCATGCCCTGCTCTGAAGGTGCCTGGGCAAGTAAGTATTCTAACATCAGATGCCTCTACAGGTGGAAGGACTGGCATATAGCACCCATCTGGCATTCTTCCAGCTGTCCATGCCCCATGCCACTTTTGCATGTGCATATTTCCAAAGAGGTACAGACTGCATGTCTGTAGACCCACAAAGACCACAGGAATTCAGACAGATTTAACGACAAATGAAGTGAACAGAAGAGACAGTTAAATTACCCTGAGGTGGTCCAAACTGTCTTAGACTGCAAATACGAAATAAACTGCACTCTCTAAAACATTTCTTCCCGTCCCCTTTGAAGATTACTGAGCTAAAGGGATCACGATGAGGACTCACTGCAGGACTTCCAGATTCTATCCAATGACCTCGAAGGGCTTACAAAATGACATGAGGGTAAGAATTACATCATGGAAATAAATGACATATTTGAAATAGTTAATTTTTATATTATATTATATTATGATAATGTAGAATATGGAAAGATACTAAAATAAATGAAATGGGCTGTCCTATTTAACTTCAGCAGAGAGCTTCCTAATTCCAATGAGAAGATGTAAAAGTTTCCCATTTCCCCTCCTTTCTACATCAAATATCTTCTACAATACCTTTTTCCTTTTGATATCTATAATCTACCTTGCTTGATAAAAAAAAAAGTCCAACGATGTACATCATTAGGGATGAAGAGAAGAATGTATAATACAGCAATAAAAAAGCTGGAGTGAAATTTCACTTACACGCAACCTACCTATGTTAAATAGAACAAGTTGCTTGATGTGTTTCTCCCACCAATCTTTTCTAAGTTTAAAACAGGATAACAATAATTTGTACTGCAGAGGCAAGTTGCTGTGGAATTAACTGAGTTAATGATCTGTACCTGTAAAGTGCTCGTGGCAGTGTCCTGTATGCACAAGGCAGGTGCCCAGACAAATCAGCTGCCATCATTCTGCTGTATCAATAATTTTTCCACAATCCTTGTTCTCTCCCAGAAGCTCTAGCATTTAATACTGCCATCTCTTCTCAACTGTATGCAAACTCTTGCTTAAGCTTCTTGCAATCTGACATGGCTGTCTGAATGTTTCCTTTTCCTGTTCCTGAAACTGGAGCGCTGGTTTCCTAGGCTTGCTGTAACAAACAATCATAATCCCATTGTGCTGAGATGACAGGAACAGATGATCTCCCAGCTTTGCAGCCTAGACCCCAGGAACCAGGGTGTCACAGCACCATGATTCCTTCAGAAGCTCTGGGGAGGATTCCTTTCCTTGACCTTCTCATGGTATCAACATTCCTTTCTTTGTGCAAACATCATCACAGCTTCCAACTCTTGCAGTCACATCACCTGCTCTATATTGCTGTCTAATTTCCCTCTGCCTCTATTACCAAAACAATTGTGATGTTACTTAGGGACCACGTGGAAAACTCAGAATAAGCTCTTCATCTCAAGATCCTTACCTTAATCACATACACAAAAATAGCTTATTTAAATAATATACTTCTTCATACATTCTTGGGACTAGAATAGGGAAATGGAATTTGGAGTCATTATCAGCCCAACTTCTGGGTATTTCCCAGGGTTTTAATTTTGGCTTTCTGGTTTTTTTTTTTTTAAGATTTATTTTATTTTTTATTGGAAAGGCGGATATACAGAGAGGAGAGACAGAGAGGAAGATCTTCCATTCGATGATTCACTCCCCAAGTGAGCGCAACGGCCAATACTACGCCGATCTGAAGCCAGGAGCCTCTTCCGGGTCTCCCATGCAGGTACAAGGTCCCAAAGCTTTGGGCCGTCCTCGACTGCTTTCCCGGGCCACAGGCAGGGAGCTGGATGGGAAGCGGGGCTGCTGGGACTAGAACCGGCGCCCATATGGGATCCCGGGCATGCAAGGTGAGGACCGCTGGGCCCCAGGCTTTCTGTTCTTGACATACTGTGCATATTTGGGGTTCTGTAAGATTGCCCAGTGATCAAGCGCACTTTGTGTTTCTGTGATCTCTGTGTGGTCAGCTCCCCAAGTCATAGCTCTTACTTCCTTCTGTCTTCTGAATTATAGGCCCACCATTACTGCTTGGTTTGAATCTTCTCCTGAGTAACTATATCTACAGAAAACAATGCTTAATATTGTCACACACAAAAATACGAGGCTTAGGTTTCATGTAAGGTCTTCAAATATTGTCTTCTCGAAAACGCTTTCTAAAAGGTAAGACCTTCTCTCAATAAAATAAAGACTTTAGACATTCTTTCCCTCTGGCTCAAGCTGCACTATCCCAAGATGCCCTGCCCAGGGGAAGTGCTGTGAGAGCGATTTGCTTTCATCTAAATGTCATTCCTGTGACTCAGAAGAGCTGTGTGCCACAGGAACATTTGTAGTTCTGTCAATGTTGTATAACTTCAGCCATAGTGTCTTTGTGTTGCATCTCCATGTCATTTCTTAGGTAAATTACTTTTCAAAACAAGGAAGCACTGGGTTGTGACTGTCAGCATAAGTGCAAAGCATTAAGAATCATCTAACTGATTAAGGAAAAAGTAATCTATGGAAGGAGATGTTTATTTCTGTTTTTCTCCTTAACTACAAAGTGGAGAGAAAATTTAGCTTCACCTTTGGAACACTGAAAAGAAAAGTGGTAAAAATGCTTTTGGCTATCTTCAGCCTGCAGTTTCCTTTTCTTCTTCTCCTTTTTTTCTTTCTTTATTTTTTGTGATTCAGTACCTTAGGCTCAGGGACTGCCTGTATTTTCTTTCCTATACTTTTTGGATCTTAGCTAATATCCTTTATTATTTGGCTGCAAAAATTTTTACATGATGTTTAGAAAATAGAAACCCTCCCAAAGGGGGTGGGAAGAACATATAGCAATAGAGGTAGAAAAAGGAGAACTCACTTTTCATGACTTTAAGTATGCCTGCTCTTAAGGGGTACAGCATTTACACCATATTGGTGAGGTGCGGACAAAGGTACCAGCACAAACTGATTTTGAGGAGCTTTCAATTCCAGAGCCGCTGGGTAACTGAACTGTAGGTACATTCTAGGGAGTGGCTGTAACCCACATAAGACCTCATGGAGACTTGATAATGGAGCATATATCTTCATCTCAGGAGATCTGAGAAGATTCGTTATTAGCCCATCCATTCTCCATCATACCACCATACCAGATGCTTGGCAGTCATGTACCCTTTTTGTTTTTTCTTCTCGCGTTGTGCCAGTCTTTTTGACAGATTCGCCTCAGCATGTTACACAAATCTGGCAGTACCAACACTTCAAAACCAGGAAGAACTCCCTGCCAAGACATTGTCATCTGTAATTTTGTGACAGTTGTAAGCCTAAACCCACATTAATTTGGCATTCAAGCACTCTGCAAAGAAACTGAAATACTAAAGGCTAGATATAATATTACCCAGGTTTAACTCATGGTTCAATGTCAATACAAAGAACTTCCATAATCAGAAAGGGGAGTGTAAGAATGTTCAACCAGCATTATTTGAATTCAAATAAAGCATGGCTGGCAGATTACTGCTTTCTCTCCTTCAGATTCACCTCTAAAATTGTAACTTGTCTCCTGCCGTTGAGAACAAATTAAAATCTTTCTTCCCCCCTACCACTACAAAGTTCCATTAGGATAACTTCATTTCAGGAAATGCCTGTAGCAGAGTAGGGCAGAGTAGATCACATCCCTATTTCATGTCTTCTCCTTATCCTATGACTTGTCAGTATTTCCCAAAGGA